ATTTACAGGTAGCCTCGAAAATAATCCCAACTTCTAGACTGTCTTTAATTTATGTTATTATTTATTCCACATTATTATATATATTGCATTTATTAGTGGATCTATATTTTGAATCATTGTAATTCAAAATTAGATTAGATTATTAAAAATCGCTATTTCCCTATGTTGATTTTACTGAGATATGTGAAATTCGGAATTCTACCATAAGACAGAAACGAAACAGAATGGATAATTTTCTAGTTTCAAGCTAGCTTGAAAAATTCTGCATCCATTTGTTTTTGATCCTTCTGATTTATCAGTTAACAGACTGTTTATGAACCTATTACAACTCATTTTACTCGTTTAGATGGACAACCGTCTGCGATTCAGACATATGCCCTTCATTTGTCAAGCACCAGTGACTTTTCAGCTGCAATCCTCATCTACCTACCACCTGCCACTCTAGCAGCCCTTGACTCTATTGTACGCAGTCAATCTACTGCCAGCAGCACTGGCACTTCACCGCTTTCCCTAATTACCGCCCGCTCTCGACATCCCGACCTATTAGAGATCGAGACATTTGGCAGACTTCTTACTGGTGTCGACGACCTGATCGAACTTCTTGCAACATATAAGAACCTAAATGAATTAAATGAGGGCAAAACTCGCAAAGATAAAGATCATATCACCGGGCTAGGAAGTAGATTGTGCTATATCCTGCGACAACTCGAGAATGTAGCTGCTGGTCAAGTGCAAATAGAGGATGAAATGGAATTGGCACCAGAATCAAACTCGGAGCCTTTAATAAAGCATGTTGACGGACATAAAGCTGTTTGGCGGCACTTGGTCGCTTTTGATCTTTGGGGTATTCCATTATCTGAAGCAGGTATAGCATATTTGTTCTGTAAAATGTTTGTGTATTGCAAACCTTTTCGTTGTTTGTATCCTCATTACGCAACATTTACATCGAATATTCGCTCCCCTTTTTTTCTTCCTCTGCGCTCAATAATTTACCCTCTTTTAGATGTACATTTAATTAGCCAATTTTGGGTTTGATTATTGGAGTTTCAGCTCTCTACGGCACCTCAGATATCGCAGAAGATTACCTTACAATGCCATTTATAATGGATATAGTTTATAGGCCACCATATTATATATGAGGCATTTTAGATATCATTTACAATCAGGGATAGTAGCACATTCTTTTTATGTACTTTTATATTTCATTATTTGGGGAAAATCATTAGCTTAAAGACAATCTCAGAGCCCTAAGATACAGTGACAACATATCCATTCAATTAAAGAGAACGGAGGCTGGGTTTCGAAGAATTATATACTATATTGCTTCTCGCATACCTTTTCTTTCGTCTGTAAAGGCGGGCGGAAGGGATTGGTCTTACTTGATACTAAAGGATAGTTGT